CTTCATTTGGGTTTCAGTAATTCCTCTTGGTTACAGACTCCACTCTTAAATAACAATTTGAGGAGAACATTTATGTGTTAGTCTGAGTGGACTAGAGAAACAAATTCATAGACACTCATATGTGTATAAGAAGGAGCATTATATAAAAGAGCAATTGTACATTGAGAAAACATCCCAGCCCAATCCAGATCATAAGTCCATAAATCTGATATTAGCCCATTATGTCTGATGCCAGTCTATAAGTTCCTCTTCAGACTCACGCAACACATGTAATGATGCCGAGTGCAGGAAGATCACCGGCCAATGGATAGAAAGTCTTGTGGGTCCAGAGTCGGTGGAAGCATTAGTTCTGGCATGGGTGTCCACATGGCTCCTCCAGCTCTAAGGCTCTGACCGCATTAGTGTAGCTCCATTTAGCTTGTCAACAGGAATGTCCCTGAGGGAGAGTCTCTGTGTGTCCCACCTCCAGCGAGCTATTTATCTTCATAGTGCCTCCAAATGAGGTCATCAAGCTGTGACCTGATTGACAGGCTAAACTCCACCCCTGCTCTCTTAATAGTCTCAAGTTGACACCAGATTACATAACTACCACAATTTAGTAAGTCTTAAAAGAGATAAAAACAACACAAAGACACGTCATCTGGATGAAGGAGGCAATTAGCAGGGGTTCAAAATGGGGTCTGAAGATTCACAGTCAAGGAGCTAGATAAGATAGGGCAAGGAACAAAGGGAACTGTCACAAAACATCACAGTGACAGGTGGGACTACACTAGCAGGAACTGGACCATGACTGGTACATGTACATTGTAAGATAGAAAGCCTTACAAAATTGGGCCAGGGCCTTCTGACCAAGGCAGTCAGAGTGAGACTGATAGGGCATGAACTCATGCCTATGTGTGCGCGCGCATGCGCGCGCGCGCACACACACACACACACGCCACGTACTGTCCCTAGTACGGTGAGCTCCATTAAGGATATAATCAAGCAAGTCCCTAAGAGAGAGACTGACCTCCCTGGCTGGAAAGGGGTGGGAGGAATCTTCTTTCCAAGGACCTCTACCTGAGGGAAAGATTACCTGCATCTTAGTAAATGACCAGAAAGCGTTTAATGGGAGTTTAATCTGTGTGGGGACTCTGAAAATGGATTTGGGGCTGTTACTGCCATCTATGGTCCTTTGCACACTATGGTCCTCAGAATTTAAGTTCTAATACAGCAGTAGATGGACTAAAAGAGCAGGCTTCTAATAAAAGAATATCCATGAGTACTCTCTGGGGAGTAAAAAAGAAGTATGATGTACAATCCCTCTCTTTATTTTTTTAAACAGTGTTATCGGCTCATAATCTATACACCATACAATTCAATAGTTCAGCCATATCAATCTCTGTTTTTTAAATCATCAAACAATAAAGGAACCATTTAGTCGTATCCATATGGTGTCCATTAGAGAGTGGTGGGTTCTTGTTCACAATGGGTGCGCACTGCCACGTTCCATGAGCTAGACCCTGTGTCCGAGCCTCAGGGTAGAGATGAATGAGATGGAATCCTGGCTTCCAGTATCCAGGGAACTGAGATGCAAGTAACCAGAGTAAATGATGGAGAGCAGACTTGGGACAGGTCCATGCAGACAACTGCTGGACCAAAGTGGGAACCTTTAACTGATTGCTCCCCGGAGGCTCAGGAACAGTGCAACAGAGCGTTCCCCGTGATGTAACCAGTTCTCCTCCTGCAAAAAGGAAGGAGCGAGGAGGCAAAAGCACAAGCACAATATCAGGTAGTCTTCAAATTGAAACAGTTCTTACATTTAAATTGCACAACCACCCTGTACAATTTTTCTCATCAGCTGCCCATCCTACGGATGAAGAAACAGACCCCGTAAGCGAGAAACTTTTCCAAGGTCCAGCAATTTCAACTAAGGCCTTGCACTCTTAAGCAATGGACTTTTGCACCCCTTAATGCTCTCCGCTGGATCCAGAGCTCCGTGCTGACAAGTGAAAGCTGGCCTGGAATCCTACAACGGAAGTTCACCGGGTCTTCAGGGATAGGAGAGATTGTCGCCTTGGTGATGGGGACCACGGCCAGATAGCCATATATGGGAGAGAGAGGCTAGAGTCAAACTTCTCCCCGAGAGGGCGGGTCTTGTCTTGCTTTCTTGGCTGTTAGTTGCCCTTGAGTTGATCTTAACGCATGGTGACCCCGTGTGTGCAGCGTGAAAGGGTTTCTTGCTTTTCAAGCTGTGACCTTTCCGCAGATCACTAGATCTGTCTGCGGAGGTCCATGTGCAGAGGGGGTAGCGGGCTGCACAGTCAACCTTTGGGCGAGTCTGGGGCTTGTTTGTGCCCCCCAAGGACTCCTCACTCTTAGATGCACTCAATCCACAAGTGGGCCAGCTGAGGTCCCAATGGTAGAGTGCGACCCCAGGTCCCATCGTTGCTCCCCAGGAAACCCTTTTCACTCGGTGTCTTTTGCAGGTCACCAGTGAGCGCACAGGATGGAAAACGCCCCTCCTCCTCACCCTGTGCCTGCTGCAAGGTGAGTCCCCCCCACAGCCCTGGGTCACGGCTTACAGAATCATGGTCTTGCTGACCTAGGTCTTCCAGGCCACAGAGATGCCCGGCTAGTGTGATGTCTCCATGTTCTCTGTTTTACGTCCCTGGGTTCTATTGCAGTGGCTACATAGAACTCACCAGGAAACCTCACACTTAAAGGGTTTCTTAAGGAAGTGAACATGTAATGCCAGTAAGAAAGGCTCAGGGTTGAATTGTTTATCAGGACATGTTGCCAAGTTCTTTCAAGTTTGCTAATAAATGCCATAAGAGGACTTGGGAGGCGGTCATTTCAAGCTCTGTGGCTCAGCAAACCCAGCTCCCCGTATTAAACGGCCTGAGGCATCACGCCCCACAGGCGCGCCTCATGCGCAAACGCACTCAGCTTTACTTGATCTGTGTCCATCTCTCTGGCTCCTCTGGACCCAGGAGGCTCACTGTGCAGGAATCTTGGGCCCAGAGGACGCGCTACAGTCCTGGCTCTAACTGGTAATGAGCTCCTTCCTCTTGCTTTCCAGCAGGCTCATTGTACGTGCAGCAGTATGGCACTCCAGAGAATCTTCTTCAAAATGACTCACGGGCCAATCCTGTCAGAATCTTCCCCCTACATTCTTAGTAGACCCATGCAGGGAAAGGGTCATTTGGTGGGAGTTAGAGACTTTGCCCCAAAGAGCCACATTCAATGGTTCACTGTCCCTGCAACTAGTGGCTCAGGGCCGCCAGGCATTCCTTTGCCAATGTGGTCATAGCCGGAAAGTGGATCGCAGGAGTGCTTGCATTTGGCCTGGAGGAAATGGTGGTGGCAAGGGCTCACAAGACAGGTCATGTGCCTCACTCGATGATTTCTAGAATATTCCTGTCTCAGTATTGCCAGTTTTCTTGTCTCTGCTACTTATGTAGATGACTGAAAGTTGCTGGATTTTCTGAATAAGGGGTCCTGGGCATGCAAAAGACATACACTGCAGGGCTGCACTGTGCTCATTCTGCAAAAACCTCAGCGCCAGACTCACAAACAGAAAGAGCTTATCTCATTCTTAAAGAGTTCAGAGTCCACCAAAGGACTCAGCAGATAAACAAAAAACTATTCATTTACTTATTTGTTCGGTAGACATTTATTAAGAGCGTACTTTGCGCTAGGCATTGAAGACAGAAGGACGGGAGACGAGAGGCCTGCCATAAGCAAAGGTCTCATAGGCATGCGTGGAGAGGCTGGCCAGGTAGGGATCAGGCTCAGATTGCAGATGGGCCTGTGTCCACTCCAGGGCACCCGGATTGTAGCCTCAAAACGATGTGGAGCCAGAGAAGACTACAGTGAGCTCAATCCCTAGAAGCCCCTGGCTGGTGCAAGCAGCTTGGAATCACCCACTTTCTTAGCTGTCTGACAGAAGTAGCATGAGTGGGTGGTTTTAACAGACAGGAACTGATTCTCACATGATTTAAGGAGCTGGAAGAGCCGATTCAGGGTGCTGACTCCAGGGGAAGGCTTTCTCTGTGTGTTGGTTTCGGGGAAGGTCTTACTGCTTCCTGTAATTAGGCCAACAGAGAGAGAAAACCCTCTCACTCACTCACTGCCCTCCTGTGGGTTCTAATTTGTAGCCAACCTATAGGACCGTGTGATTTGGGCTTGGGAGACTGTCAGTCTTTGTGAGGACAGAAAGTCTCATCCTTCTTCAGCGGAGCAGCTCATGTGTTCAAACTGCTGACCTTGCAGTCAGCAGCCCAAGGCATAGCCCACTAGGCCACCCCAGGGCTCCTTAGCCTTCCCCTAGAGCTGTGGTTCTCAACCTTCCTCATGCCGCCACCCTTTCATACAGTGCCTCATATGGTGGTGACGCCCAACCGTAAAATTATTTTCATTGCTACTTCATCACTGTCATTTTGCTACTGCTATGAGCCATAATGTAAATATCTGATATGCAGGATATATTAGTCAACCCCTGTGAAAGGGTCATTCGACCCCCAAAGGGGTCGCATGACCCACAGGTTGAGAACCGCTGCCCTAGAGCATCCGGAATTTGGGCTTCTAACCTCCAGCCCTGGGTGAGAAGGGTCAGCCTGAGTTGGCATGTACTCAATAATGGTAGTGAGTTTGGCGGTTGGGTTCTGAAAGTGAGAAACAATGCATTTTGGTTTGCGAAAGCATTCCACTTGTGATGTTTCTGATAAAGCAGCCCCCAGCGATTATGAAAGAATTTAGCACATTGGGCACTGCCCTAAATAAATACTGAAAATGTGGAAATGATTTTACAATTGGCTAATGGGTAGAGGCTAGAAGGGTTTTAAGGTGACCAATAGCAAAATTTAATAGTAAATAAAAAGACAAATCGTAAACAGATTGCCTTGAAGAGATGGCTGTCGAATTACAGATGTCAAAGGCAATTTTAGTGAGCACATAAAAGGAAGTAAGGAAAGCTAGAGAGAAAGCGCCCACTGTCTTAAAGTAGAAATACGGTGCCAGAACATAAGGTTGCTGGGAACGTGCAGGTTAGATGTGCTTCAGGTGAGGCATTGAAAGAAAACAATGACGATGCAATTGGACAATGGAGGAGAGACGATGCCTCTTCTTTATGGATGACGGTGCTGTCATTTATTTACTCCATCCTTTATGGACGGAACACTTTGGATGCATCTCGTGTTCTTGGCTAATTAAATACCACTTCAGTGATCACCCCGGATCAACCAGGTTTGCATCCCTGTCATAGTACTTCCTTGCCATTAGTTCTTTTGTCAAAACCAGTTTTATTGTCATATAATTCACACAGCATATAATCCAATAACCCAATTGCATTGAAAGAGTTGTACAACGATCATCACAATTGATTTTAAAAGGTTTTCTTCTTTCTTGGACTCATTATTATTAGCTACCCACTTCCCCCAACCTCACCTGCCATGCAAGCAAAGAAACAAAAAAAACCCCAAACCAACAACAATAACCAAACAAGACCGAGAAGAACTGCAATAGAAAAGAAAACAGAACATATTAAAAACTAGAATGAATTAAAAAGGGGTCAAGGGGGCGATCAAGTGATAAGGTGTTAAATGTTAGCCTAATTGCATGTGCAATGACTCATTTTCCAATACCCTCTGCATGGTCACAGGCTGTTCACATCCCTGGTCCACAGCCAGAGTGGACTCACTGGATGCTTCATCCATATGTATTTCCCTTTCCGTGTGTGTGTGTGTGTGTGTGTGTGTGTGTGTGTGTGTAACTCAAACAACTTAATGGGTCAAAAGAGAAATCAAATGATAAGACATTACATTTTAACTTAAGTACAGGTGCCGTAACTGATTTTGCAATGCTTCCTATCTGATAACCGTTTATTCACATCCCTGGACTATAGCCAGAGGGGATTCCCCTGAGGCTTAATCCATGTGTGGACCCTGAAAATGGATTTAGGGCTTCCCCTGTCATCCACAGCCTTCAGCAAACTAGGAGTTCAGAATTTAAGCTGTGATACCATTTCCTCCTTTGGATTTTGGATTTATTATTTACAATCCTTAGATCACATAGGCTGGCGTGTTTCTTCCATGTAGACTTAGTTGACACCTCACTTAGATGGTTGTTTTAACATAAACCTTTAAGACCCAGATGCTATTCTTCCTGATAGACAGACACCATCTAGTTTCTTCACCACACTTTACTATAGCACCAATATCTCCAGCGATCTCTTCATGAGCACAAGCATCAAGGAGGGCCATGTCACAGGAATTAATTGTTCTTAGATTGGGGCTAGAATTAAGTGTGAGTCATATATATATATATATGGTTTATAGATGTCTCTGGTTAATTTTAGAGATATAATCATTTTATGACAGAAACCATTATCAATCATCTCCCTGGGGCATAAGATATCCTATTAATAATATCATTAATTTAAATGATGGTATAAAAAGGAAATTATACAAGTATAGGCTGGCTTCAGACAGCAAGGCATGAATTATTGACGTATACAGATTAAACTCTTAAGTGACTGGACACTATGTACATGAACAATGGGGGTTAATGATAAGGCAACATTTTCAGTAACACTCATTAACAAAGGCAGAACCATGCCTATCAGATGAATAAAAGAAAGCAAGGAAGGCATTAAAAAAAAAAATATATATATATATATTATACCCAGGCCATTCATTGGGCATACTCAAGGCAAGAGATCCAAAGCAAAGTCCAATGGCCACCAGTTCTATAGTCTCGGAGTAACAGTCATCCGCTGCTTCTCACATGAGGGAGTTCAGCCTTAAGTCCAAGGGCTACAGGGGAGTCTGAGGTCAAGCTCAGTTCACTTAGTGGGGTTTCGTCCAATGAGGGATGTTGTGTGCCTCAAAAGACAAAACGCACAAAAAACTCAGAGTCTAAAGTCCTAGTAGTCCATAGCACACAGAATGGGTCACCAAGGGCTGGATCGAAACTAGGTCCAAAGGGTCCAATTAGGAGCACAGTGCCAGGTATTCAGCGTTTTTAACTGATGGGAAGTTGCTCCTTTCTGCTTACCCACCAACAGAAATAGAGTTGCCTTCTCTGAGACCTACATGTCCCTCACCCCCCCACCCCCGTCTTGACTTGACTTTCCAGTGAGGCTCACTTATCACTCTGGCAGGAGTGCCTGTGGAGGATGGCCCAGTGGTCTAAGGCACTGTGTGCTTTTGATGCAGTCGCAAGGAACTTGTCTAAATTACATTCAAATGTTTGATAGAAGGGAGAACTTTCAAGTGATGAACTTGTGATATCTAGTGATCTGATATCTTGGTGATCTGCTACCGCATAGATTATGACCAAGAAAATTCTGGGGGACCACGCTACTCTGTAACACGAGAGCTGGCCTTGAATTGGAATTGACTCCAAGAGAAAGGTTTTCAGTGCCCAGTGTCCAGTACGCAGAAACTAGTGCCCAGCTAGTTTAATAAATATTGTTGACTGAGTTGATAGATGAGTAGAGATGCTAAAACACCAAAAAATATTGACAACTGTCTCAGACTTATAAACAG